AGTAGTAGCAGTAGCAGTAGTGGCAGCAGCAGCGGCAGCGGCAGCAGTGGCAATCGTAATTGTATTCGTCATAGCTTAATGGCACAACCATTTGCAATCGTAATCGTAGTGGTGGTGGCCATGGTGATAGTAGCGGGTGTGCCTTGTTGGCCTGCTACTGCTGGTTGCTTGGGAGTTTGCCGGTCTTGGCCTCCACAGTGCCATCTAGAAGGTTTCCTAGGATTGTGAACAATGTGCTTTCTCGCTGTTTAGGGTTTGGGGGGTGGGAATTGCTTCGGTCGCTGAGCTTCGGGTCCCTACATTTTGTCTCGGAGCCAGCGTTTTAGTTTGGTTCCTGTCGAGGAGGGGTCTCACGAACAGGCCTTCCGTTTGTGCTACATCGACTGCTTCCTCTGCCACTCTGAGGCTTTTTCCAGAACAAAGACCCGCTTCCGAGGGACCGGCCGGGAAAAGATGAGGGCCTTATGGTTATTAACTCGTGCTGTCAGCCAGTAGCTCAGTTAGAACATGGGTGTAGTTCGTTGCCCGCAAGCTAAACTGGCCCAGAGGATGCGTGCAAAAGAGTTCCAGATTTCGTGCGATGGCATTCTGCACAAGCGGTCTTCACTTGGGCATTTTGTTTGGGAAGGTTCTTGTTTTCGGGAACAATAATTGACCAAGCATCTGGTGTAGCGCGCATGTTTGTAGCGCGGGCTCTTGCAGGACCTGCTGTGGGAAATCGACCGTGTTCACATGAGCAACTTGGCTTAGAAGAGGGGTTGTATCACTTGACGGATCCCAACTTTGGTTTGTTCTATACTATACAGGCTAAGCCGGCTAAGCCTAAGTCCAAGAAGTTGCCCTTGAATGGGTCGAAGTTTGGGACGCGAACTGTCTGCTGTAGTTGGAAGTTTCGACTACTTGTAGGAAATGTCCGCATGCACTCGGCTTCAATGCCACAGCCGGCTTGGGTACCTTTGGGCCATTTAAGGGAAGCTTTGAGATGTGTTGCTCGTCGCGATGGCGCGCGTACTGGCCCGAGTCAAGCAACCAGAAAGCCCGAAGCCTTGTCTCCAGCAGAGGAAACCGTCTGCCGATCTTCTCCTCCAAGCATGTGGACTCGAGTTGGCAGGGCGCTGGCGAGATTGGGGAGCCAATCCCCTGACCTCTAGGTCTTGGGTCAGGGGCCTGTTGCAAACAGCAGTTCAGTTATGCTTCAAGCTTTGCTGAACAGAACAGGATCAGGAGAATGTTCTTCTGGGGTGGCTGTACTTCTTGAATTCTGTAGGTATATTAGAGGACGCGCGCAACAATACATACATCATGCACACATCGTACAGGGATAGTAACGCAAAGGAGAATCTGGCGCTAAATCCTTCACCTCCTAACACTGTATCCCTTGCTAGTCAGCGAGTGGGACTTGAAAAACCGGTCCGATGACCGAGGTTTCTCGACTTCCAGGTTGCAGATGTGGGTTGACAGTGTATCTTAGCATGCATGGTTTCAAGTTTCGGGGTTTGTGCAGACCAGATGGAAAGAAGGGCTTCAGGGGGAAACAAGGCTCCCAAGCGCCGACGTCCCTGGCCCTAGGCCAAGACTGCAAGGTTTATCCAAGTCCAAGTCCAAGCTGTCGAATCTTGCAATGACACGTTTCATGAAGGAAATCTATGCCACAGAAGACCGTCTGCTGCAAGAGAACGACAGCCGACAAGCCCTATCGATGATTGCAGTTTAGCGGTTTCGCGCTTGATTTCAAAGACACCGCTGCAGCAAAACTTACAGTGCGACGCTTGCCAACGAGAGCCCCTTGTGTAGTTTGATTCTTCTGCTGCAGCATCATTGTTTAGCCCTTCCATCCCTAGCTGCTTCAGCAGCGCGTCCGCCGCAGCAAAGCGAGAAAGATGGCTGCCACATGTTTGCGCAGGTTTTACTCTTCATGCAGGGTTTGTTGCGAGTGCTCTGCCAGGAGTTGCAAAGCGAAGTGGAATTTTGTAGTTGCGTCCGGCGCTAGTTTCACTAGCAAGGCCTTGCTGAGAAGGCAAATTGGGTGTTGCATGAAACGAACCTGTAAGTTGTTTTCAGCGTGCTTTTTGGATTGCGTCGATTCAAGATCGGCTTAGTCAGTCTATTTTATTATGTTGACGCCGCTACTGGTAGTGCTGTGGAGGGTGATGAGACGAGAAAGCAGAAGAAGTGGTGATGGTTATGATGGGGACTCATCTATGTTTCCGACGATGGTTGTGTGGCGTCTGACTTTGCTTTCGGCTGCCATTGTGCAGCGTGCCTTGCAAATCCTGCCTGCCAAAAACAGAGGACTCCAACTCGTTTCCCAAGCTTCAAGCAGCAACACCAACAAATGCACACGAAGTAGCTGACAGCTCTTACTCCTATCGGCGACCGTATCTGCTGCTTTTCATAGTCACGAGCAATGATCCAGATCGGCCAGGCCATTGGACCGCCCAATGCACACCACAACCAGGCCCGATGGAATGAGGTCGGTTAGGCTTCGGTTCCAGGGTTTGGGCTCTGGGGTTCAGGCCTTGGGTGTACGTAAGAACATCATAAGAGTTGTCTTTGTTCAGATGTGGGCCCCATCGTTTAGAGGTGCAGGCCCGCAAGTCGCCTTTGCCCATGCTTTGCTTGCGCCACGCCCGCGAGTCTGAGCAACAAAAACACGCTCACCTCCCATGCACATCCGGAGATTGTCGCCAGACTTCGGGGCTTGACATGGCCCGCTTTGCCTTACCCCTGAGTCAAAAAAAATATCTAATCCAGCCGCTGGCGTGCATATGCCTCCACCAAAAATGCTGCAACACGCGGAAACGACTTGGCAGCAAAAGATTCGGGTTGTCCACTCGTGTAATTTCGGTTTGGGGGTTATGCAAAATCCAACGATTCTGTGAAGCAGTGTGTGCAGGCACTGCTTGCAAGCTTTGCCGTAAGAACATGTTTAGCGTAGGGGGAGACAGCGGGCAGCAACAACAAAATACAACGGCAAAAGCAGTCGCGGAGCTGTTGGCACGCAACAGCATTTTCGCGAGTAGCGGGAAAGTTGCAGCAATAAAGACCACCAGTACCGCACCGCTGTTGCTGCTGCTGGTGCTGTAGTAGTAGCAGTAGCAGTAGTAGTAGTAGTAGTAGTAGTAGTAGTAGTAGTAGCAGTAGCAGTAGCAGTAGCGGGAGGAGTAGTAGTACTAGTGGTAGTCGCCGTCGTCGTCGTAGCAGGAGCAGCAGTAGTGGTGGCGGTGGCAGTGGCAGTAGTAGTAGCAGTAGTAGCAGTAGCAGTAGTAGTAGTAGTAGTAGTAGTAGTAGTACCAGCAGCAGCAGCAGGAGTAGGAGTAGGAGTAGTAGTAGGCGTCGTCGTAGTAGTCGCAGGAGTAGTAGTAGTAGTAGTAGTAGCAGTAGCAGTAGCAGTAGCAGTAGCAGTAGCAGTAGCAGTAGTAGTAGCAGTAGCAGTAGCAGTAGCAGTAGCAGTAGTAGTCGTCGTCGTGGTGGTGGTGTTGTTCTTGCTGGTCCTGTTGCTCTTTTTACCGCCGTCGTGGAATTGCACTGGCCAGTATAGAAGGGACGTATTGTTTCCGCCTGGCTATTGTCTGGAGGAGGTGGACGAGAATTTGACGTCCGTCTGTGTGAAGCTGCAGCAAAGGCTCCGACCCCACTCTTCGGAGAAGGCTTGAGTTTCAAAGCTTCAGAACTATCGTGCCAAACATCAATGCACATGCCGCGCGATTAGAACTGCAGCAAGCATGACGTCTCACTGCACGCCTAGTGTGCTGGACGATGAACCTCGGTCCATAGGTTCATGCACAAGTGCGGCAGCAGCGGCAGCAGCAGCAGCAGCCAATATTCGAAGGAAAGCTCCAAGAACAGCAAGATCAACAATGCCTCTTATAGCACTACAGACATGGACTGGTATGCAGCGAAAGTCATTGACTCCGGCTCCATGCTGAATCTATCTCTGTCTTCTTCCGAGGCAGCAGCCTGCCCTAGTCTCTCGGGCCCGAATCTCCAGCTCTGACTATTCTTTTACAGGCTGTGTTAATCGTATGCGCTAAAAACCTGAATCAATCCTTCTCGCTAGAAACCTGAACCAATCCCAGCACTCCATTACTGCTATGCCGCCATCCTGCCACCACAAGATACTTGAATCAGCGAGTTTACCAAATTCCTCAAACACTCCGTCAACGCCTGGATTGTCCGAGTGTGGGTACCGAAGCACTCCGTCAGTCTGCCAAACGATCCACAATCCCGTGTGCTGGCAGTCCATATCATCGAACAGAGCCATTGAGGGCTTCCGGAGTGTATCCCTTCTCTTGCTTCCACAAAGCTCCCTCCAAGGCTGGGCAAGCTGAGCACCAAGAAGACCATCGCGCTATGACTTTCAGAGGCTTCGGTTGTTTAGCTCCCAATCCGGCGTTCCCGTCGAACGGGGTTCAGGGTCCACGATTCAGTTTGGGTTTTGGATGGTTATATTATATACTGTCATATTATATTACTTTATAGTACGTCATGTCAAATTTTTTATATTGTAATATAATGTATTGCGTTATATGAGTGTTGATCTTCAGAGATCCTGCTGCTCATGTCCGGGTTCGCAAAAACCAGGCACCAGACCTTCTATGCCTGCAAACCCTTGGACTGCAAAGCTTCCGACGGCTTCGGAAACCCACTGTTAATATAGGGGCCTTAATAATTACCTCTACTATGTTAAGGGGGTTCCTTATTATAACTATAGTATAATATATCCCACAACCCTATTCTCATTATTCAGGCCCCTACAAAATTCCCCCGGACTACCTCTGACTGACAGTACCACGGATGTTTGCAGGCTACGGGTCTCGCACATCCCTCAGAAGGGTGAACGGAGATGGTCAGACATGTAGCACTAAACTACATCACCTGAAGCTGAGTGGGGTACACCTGAGAAGGCTCAACTGATTCATGCCCATGTTGCTGGTTGCAGAGCTTGGCATTGCATGTTTTTTCTCTCATATTGGCTTTGGGGTTCACGGCGAAGGCAACTCGCAAAAGCGTAGCCTACAATCCCAGTCCAATCCTGTTCTCCGACTCTTGCAGGGTTGAGGGTTCAAGCCGGAGCAGACTGGACCTAATGCAACGCCTCCCTCAAGCCGCATATCGGCGTCCAAGAGCAGCATATGCACCCCACTCAGGTGCAGTCGTGTAGTGGAGGTCGGGTGTGGCAAAGCCGATTGTGCAGCGGCGCCCTTGGCCGGAGAAACTCCAGGACCCTATTTCGAGCGACAAGCATCCCAAGCAGCTTCTCCTGCCAAGTGCCTCCGCACAGACAGTTCACGGAAAAGGAGGCTCGTGCTTGAAAGGCTGCAGCTGCAGATCCCGCTGGTCAAAGTGTGAATTGGCTAAGAAGCACCGACAAACATCTGTGAATGTTGCATCAAAGGCTGGTTGTACCCCATGAACCTGAAGGTTGATGGGTGGCGATACGTAGAAAGCTCAGTGCCAGGATTGGGTTACGAGGCACGTTTAGCGACACTTGCATAGCTGACCCGTGAACCTTCAATCAACCGGCACAGATTGCCCGTGGCTGCTGCCTCCTACTGCCAGCCCGACGTAGTGTGAATTACTCTGCCTCGGGACCAAAGTGCCCGAGATGGCAAACCTTCTGCCACAGGTGCTTCTGTTAGCAGGCGGTTCTCTACATTCGGGGCCTCTTCAATACAAAGGGTCATACCCTGCAAGAGACTGGAGTTGATGCAGAACTTAGGTGGTATGGTTTTCCGCGAGAGGGAGCAGCGAAGAGAGCCAAAGAGAGGGGTCTCAGAATCGAACATCGCTCAATGGGTTTCAGATTGAGAGTGCCTGTCAGGCTTATCCGCGTCTTGCCGAGCCGTCCTTTCATATACTTGCTAAAGATGGCGGTCCTGAAGGTGAGACAACCAGAGTAAGTCAGACATGCACGGATAGGCCTTTTAAGAACCGCCAAGTACTGGTAGAGGTTTTTGTTCTGCTTTTTTGGCCGTATTCGTTACGGCTAAGATTGTCTTTGTGTTTCTATCTCGCTTGTCCAGCAGGAAGTGGGTGGCCTTGTGATGCCTTGTGGGGTGCACTCGTTCGCTGCCACAGTGAGAGGTGCGAGGGGGCAGTGAAGTAAGACCACGGGTCTGACAACGGAGCACGTAGCTGGCAGACGGAATGCCGCGTGTCTTGCACTGCATGGTGAAGCGGTTAGGTCCGGGTCGAAGGGCTGCAGTTGCAGTTGATACTTCGTCGTGCGACCTCTTCTGAACTGAATAGCTCCACAAGGCTGAAGTACCATGGCCTAGACAGAGATGCTTGTGATAGACAGCACCGCAGCCGACGACACCAGCAAAGCAAGCGCATATGTGGTCCACAAGCGCCTTGCTCTTACTATGGATCGAAAAGGTCGACAGCATCTGGATAACCGATAGCCAAGCCTTGGGCTGCAACAAGTGAACCCCTTTCTAGCCGTAAGCAACATTCGGCATCCTCAAGGACCCTTAGACCCGACCCCGACACGCCCGACACAGCTGGGTTCTTCATTACCCCCGTGCGTTTCCCTCCCATGGGGCTAGAGCGCCTACTGTAGATTGTGTTGCAAGATCTCTTGTAGCTCGCGTGGTCTAGTGGGTCTAGTGCCCAGCAACATCGCCAGTCCAATCTTTGTGCCACAAATGGCTTTCCGAAGAGTGCTAGCTGCCAGATTGGGTTTTTGTCAAAGACACTGGGGTACGGTACCGTCATGCAATTTTGACCGCCCAGTCCGTCAATGAATGTGTTGTGTAGCCGTTTGTTTTCAATTGTGTAAGGAGTTCCTCTCATTCATCAGCACGACAAGCACACCTGCCTCGCTCACGGCTCCTCCAACCATGAGATATTCATGTAGTTAGGTTCGTCAGGTCATCTGGTGTCAAGCTACAGATGCATTCCTCGCCATGGCCCCCGTCCAATTCCACAAAGCAACCTAAAGAGCAAGAGTAGCAATCCCATTCGAAATTGCAAGATCCGAAAAAGCAGCACAAGAAGGTTATACACAGAGGTGGGCACCGTACATATCGGGTACTGGCTAGGTCTACGAAGGTATTGCAGGTGGCTGACGCTGCGAAGTCCGCAGCTTTCGCACGATTTTGCTATGCCGACCCTCAGCCGCTTGGGCTGACGATTAAGAGCAATATCTATGATATAATGTTAGATGATGGGTTATTGATACAACGGGGTACACAGGCCTGCATATAGAGCAGGAAGAACCAATGGCCTTTTCATTGTGCTCGTACAACGTGATGGAGCTTCTTGACATCCAGGATCTCGTGTGTCGAGGTTTTGGATCTGTAAGATGATTGTGTGTGTGTGTGCGTGTGTCATTCAGACTTCGCGGTGTTTCCAGTGGCTACTTGGCATTGTTTTTTCGCGAGCATCTATTTGCAAAGTTTGATGGTGAAGCTGTCGGTCGGCCAGGGCCCACTAGCATCTTGCCCTTTTGGCGCAGGGAAGTTAGGGACCCTTAGCAGCCTGAGAGCATAAGTTGTCGGAGGCACAAAGCAGTGAAAGCCTTCAGATGGTGAGCTCCTACCTGGAAGGATTTGACCTGCCACCCTCAAGCGATGAAGAGGAGGAAGATGAGGACGGCCTGCAACCCGAGTGCACGCCTTTGCCTTTCCTGCGATTCAAGACTTTTCAAGTTGACTGGCCACGAATACGTTTTGTTTATACAGACTGCGACGAAGTGGAGATTCACAGCCAGTGCTTCCTGCCTGATGAGCTCCCTCAGGGACTTTATTCTGCTGCACCACTTAAGCAGGTGGAGGTTGCAGTGCTACATATCGGTCTAGTGGTGTTAGCCTGGTATTGGATGTCCTGCGGCCACCAGCGGATAGTGATCAGTGCTGGGCATCTGAATGAGGAGCAGGTGGCATGGTGGGAGTGGTTCTACGCACAGTGCTTTGCAGAGTTTGCAATATTCAATGGGTTCACCGAAGAACAAATTCGTGTATCGGTTGAGGTCGATGCACCACAGCAACTCGACGAGGGCTGTTTGGTCCATGGGCCAGAGCAGAAACCCACACCGTCCAGTGACTCGAGTCAGGCACGGGTTCTGTGCCTTCTGGGTGGGGGCAAAGACAGCCTCGTAGTGCATCAGATGCTGCAGGATGCCGGCGTCAGGTCGCCAACGTGGCTCTATGTAGGCGATGGGCGCAAGGAGTTTCAAGGCAGCTGGCGCCTGCAGACTGTCGTACAGCGATCTGGATCGTCAGTGCTGGTGATGGCTCACGACTTCCAGACTGAAGCTTTGGCAAAGAGGAGGTCCCGGCTGCAGCCATGTGGCCACCCGTGGGCTGCACTTGTGGGCTTCGATGCTGTGCTGGTGGCTATACTATCTGGCTTTGACTACATAGCTGTTGGCAACGAGCGATCGGCAAACTATGGCAACAATCTCCGTGTGGGAAGCATTGAAGTGAACCATCAGTTCGACAAGAGTTTCGGCTTTGAGTCGCGCATGCATAGATATATCCGTCGACACTTGGCCCCCGGCACCTATTACTTCTCAGCCCTCCAGCACCTCTGGGAGGTTCAGATTGCTTGGCTATTCTGCCAACGCTCGGCTGGCTTCCTAGATGCTTTCATGAGCTGCAATGACAGTAACGGTTTGAATGAGTGGTGCTGCGACTGTGACAAGTGCTGCTTCGTGTTTGCATTGCTTGCGGCCTGGCTGTCGTCGGCGGAGGTTGCCAAGTATTTCGGAAAGAATTTGCTTGAGAATCCCAAACTGTTGCAGAACTTCCGGAGCCTTTTAGGCATATCATCGCAGGATCCAGGTGACCGTGGGAGGACGGCCGTAAAGCCTTTCGAATGTGTGGGAACGCCAGACGAGGTCCTACTCAGCCTTTGGCTTGCACGCGAAGCTTCAAGCTTCTCACCAGATGGGCTTCCACTGGCACTTGCATCCCTGCCCCTGGACGAAGGGCGGGAGCATGTCGATCTGCTTAGCCAGTACAATCCTGAAAACTTGCTCCCGGACTGGCTAGTCCCAAAAGAGGGTGCGGTAGAGTCTTTGCAGGACAAGCTTGCTTTTCATGGTTCCGCTACACTCGAGCAGAAGTGGAAATCCTTCTGGAGCGATGTGATGTCGGAGACTCTAAGGATACGGCAATGACTTCAAGCTGCATCTTGCTGAGGGTTAATTAGTTGTTCAATCTGATGAATGGGCCATGATCACCGGTGCTTCCTACTCGGCTCTTTGCTATCAAGGGCATGCCCACAGACTTCGCCCTTGTCCTCGACTATCTCGATGGGCCCAAGCTTCGATGGACAGCCCTGAGGCGGACAAATGGGAGATTCGAACTGATGACTTGCGGGCTCAGGGTCAAAGGTGTTGTGTTCTTCCACGCCCAATACTCGAACGAATTCCGCGTATGATTCCGCGATAACTTGCAGGCTCAGGGTCGTAGGTGTGTTGTTCCACGCCGAATGCCGCAAGCCAGACCAAGAGCCGTCGCAGAGAACGTGGCGAGAACCAGAAGAAGACACACAGGGCAAGGGCAGCGCTCTCAAGGGCGGACCTTCGAGAAGAGCTCCGATGCCATACGATGACCACGTCCTGTCACTTCTCGTGTCGACGAGTTGGTGACTGTCGGAAAACTTCAAGCAACTTGGATAGCTTTCGAGCCTGACCCAATGTGGCCATCTTTTTCTTCATCCCTGCCCTCGGAGTTGGGCAGAGAGTGCAACGCAGAGCGTTCGCAAAACTGCACAGAAGTGTGGACCAACGTCTGGACAAACGATCTTATGAGAGTCTGCTATGTTGAGAGCCGCAGATATGCTTTGCTCAGGCCCAAATCAGTCTTCAGATGCCGCTACATGTTCCTACATGGAACTTTAGGAGCTGTGGGAAACAGTTGGCAGGACTCTGACCCTGCAAACTTGGCAGCAGAAGTGGCACAACGCTCCAAGTAAGTTCTTGCTGAATTTGGGTTCTGGGTCGGCTTGCAGCGAATGTTCCAGATCAGCTTCAGAGCACAGGGTATCCTGAACAGACTCGCAGACGCGGCCAAGGTGAGCTCAAGCGGCGCCAGGCCAAGACGGTCAGAGAGAAGTGGCCACTGGGTCGCAATCGAGTTTCATCATGTTCCGAAAATTACGGATGGCGAGGGCCGCCGAATGAGGTTCGTAGTCCAACCTGGGTTTCCTTCTGTACAATGGACGGCGACACTCCTAGCCCATACCTCAAATTTTGTTTGATCCCGGTTCCCAGCAGCGTTGGATACCATTTGCAGTGTTCCAAAGTGCCGGTGTCTGGTTGCGACCCATCATGAGTCAGGCGTGGGCAAGTTTGGGTTTAGGTGCTTGTGGCACAACTCGATGACAGGTCTTCTGGCAGGACTCTTGATGCTTCACGACTGCACCGGAACGTACTAATTCGTACATTTGTAAGCAATGGTAGCTGTCAAGACCCGGGCACCGTCGAAGCGCTGCGCAACCATGAGGTGGGAAAAGGGGCCGACCCTTCCTGGTGAGGGCTGTACACCGGCACAGCGACGACTAGCAGATGACAAGGCGTTGCTTATATGTGACATGTCGGAGCTCCGCCTAGGGCTTGACAATAGCAACATAGATGTACAAATACACAGAGAGAGAGAGAGAGTGGGACCAGAAGCGATTATTGAGTCTTTGTTTAGGGACTACAAGGGGGCGATGATCAGATCTGAAAGCTCCCAGCATTGTGGATTCAGCCCTTGAGCGGTCCTGTCAGCCGATGCCTTGCTGCGAAGGCACACTACACGGGAGTTTGCCGCTTGCTGCAGGCCATTTCTGCGGTTTTTTGGTTCTTGCTGATAGGGCTCCATTTGTTGGAGTGCCTTTGTGTTGTTCGTTCGGGCCCCGGTAGAAAAGTGATTGAAGCACCCTGCTTGATGCTAGTTGTTCTTCATGACCTAGATGGGTGTGGCTTGAGTGCTGTGGCTTATTCGGCCTTGCTTGATCTGCTGTCAACGACACAAGGGAGCGCTCATGCATGTGGCCATGTGCTTGAGACCTGGTCGTGTACTCAGGCTTACAATTCAGCTAAGACCACCTTGGGTCCCTGCAGTGGTTGCTTGATTCTGCCGGCATTTTCGCTCATTCTCGTGGACGGCCATGTAAGCTGCTGATACACCGCAGACAGCACAACATCAGCAACCAACCAAGATCGCCCACAACTACTTCTCGAGCTTGAGGAATGGACTTGAGCACTGCAGTAGCCGCTTAACAAGCCAGGAAGAACCGTGAAGCACGCAAGGATTTAAGACTCGCTGCCGTGGCTCATGACGGATACCGAGGGGATCCAGTGACTGATGAAGAAGTGCCTGGACATGAGTGCAAGAAGTGGGGTGTGATGGATATCGGATAATGATTGCCCGGGATGGGGATGGGTCATCATTGTGCCCCGGAGCACAAGCAAAAGCTGCTCGCAGCAGAAGACCCCTTAAAAGCCATGCGGCGCTTCCAGCAGAAGCGGAAGATTGACCGGCGACACCGTCTCAACCTGGATGATCGGAATTTGACCTTCGTTGGGAGAACTCCAACTAAAAGCTAAAAGATAGTTTAGTGGCAGATGGGAGGTCAGAGGATGAACTCGGCTCAAGCATAGAGGAGATGCTGTTTACGAACATGCCAGAAGTGGAGCCTTCGAAGAATGCCCCAAGGCTATCATGAACTTCTCGCCGACTGTCCAGACGACCGGCCAGGACTGAGGGTCCATGAGCGGGATAAAGGGTTCGGATTTTGGCTTCAGGGGCTCAGGTAAAGGGAAAGTTGAGGATGTGAAGGCGTGCAATACGATCATCTGAAAGTATCACTTTGCGCAGGAGCGAGAGACCAAGGGTGGCTTCGTCTATGCGGGCAATGGCCAGCTTGCTTACATTTTCCAAAAATCTTGGGCGGTGGGGCGGGGCTGGCCGCAGTTGACCACAGGACAGGACTTCAAGATTTCATAGGGGAAGAAGAGCAGTGCGCTACTCACGCAGGAGCTCCGCGTAGAGATGCACATGTCGAGGAACATCCGGATGAAAGTTGGACAATTGAACATATTGAACTGAAGCCCCATGTCTGCACCGAAGCAGCTTGAGGCAAGGGCACCCACATGTGGCGGCTCAAGCAGGACTTTGAGGGGTGTCGAGCTATTCAGCTTTGAAAGGTTCAGAGGTCGCAAGACATTTTGTACGGTAGCGGCGAGCGCGCTGTCCAGTGGCGCTTGTTTTCAAAGTCTTCAGCCTGAATCCCGAACTCCGAAAAGGTTCAACGTTTCAACTGTGCTCTGCAACAGGAGCGGCCGGACCTCTTCGCCGAGAAAGACCTGCCGGAGGCCGGTTGTATGCACCCCTCTTGCCCCATACTATTTTGGGGCTCCTTATTATAGCTTACGGGGCCCCAAAACCCAAATCCTATTCTAATTACGAGGGCCAATAGAAGACAGTGAAGCTGTGCTCGGCTCCTGATGAGGAAGAGCAGATTCCGAGCGGCTTTGCCACCTGCAGCACTGCAGGGTGGCTATACAACAAGGCCTTGCGAAACATTGGACGAGCTGTGCAGTCCTGTGGTTTAGGGATGTTTAGGGTTTATTAGGGTCAAGGGTGGGAGTTTCCGAAAATAAGGTATTTTGGGCGTCCTTATAATCCTCCTATTTAGGGTACTATATTAGGATCCCCTATTTTCGGAAACCCCCACATGGGACGAGCTGCGGTCCTGTGCTTTCTAGTCTGTAGCACAGGTTTGCAGGTATTGATGAGGCCAAATCCTAGTCGAAGCTATGCCATAGCTATGCCCTTAATCGGTTTAGGAGCTGGCGCTTCGGCGCGTGGTCGTTAATCTGATTGTGTTTGGGTTCAGCGTACTGAGTTGGTTTGTCAGAGTGGGAGACGTTGGGAAGTCCCGACGGGGTGTCAGGATATGTCCAGAACCGCGAGTGCCGCTTCCACCCACAACCACTCCCCCACCTCTTTTCCTCCTCGCCGTGAGGACAAGGATATCTACTTCGAGCAGCTTGGATTGGCAGAGTGCGTGACAGGGCAGCTTGGGCCGGTTGCACAGTGATGATCGCATTATAGACCAACTATGCCCGTCTCCGTCCACAGTGGCCGTGATAGCATATTGATATTGAGTTCTTTTGTTCTAGCTGGCTTCACAGGGTCCTCGTGACCAAGCTCGAGTTTTCGGGTGTCGATCCCCAGCGTGCGACGGTTAAACGATTGAAGCATCTTGCCGGGAACTTGCAGGCTGAAATCCAAGCGTCGGTTCTGGTTCGATGAATCCACCCGGGTGCACCGAACACTCCACGAAGGGGAGGCGCCGGACGGTTCGGATGAAGTTGAGTTGCTGAGGAACATTCCGCCATGGGCATGCTGAGCCGTTGTCGTATTGGATAGACACGTGGTCTTTGGTCGTCTGCAAGGTCTTTGTACATGTGCGTGCGGTGAGGGGGTAGACGATACACTGCCACGGATGATGGCGTTTCGAACTTTGGCCCATCTGGCCTGTCAGTTGCAGAGATTTCTTCCGCCCATTCTTAAACTAAGCACTGTTTGTATCCTGTACCGGCCAAGTGTGGCTTTAAGCATGGCAAGACGTTGGACCCTGAGAGGTAGTGCAGCTGGGACACGTACTTGGACCACCGTCGCATAGCAAGCCAAAACACGGTTTAGGTGAGAAATCAAAACATTACAGTATGAAGTGCCGCAGCATTGATGTACCATGACGCACCAACACATTTGGCAAGCTTCGGAGTTGCATCTCACGGACTTGCAGCATGCTTCTGATATAGACATCATGCAGCGTCAAGTTATGAAGCAAGAAAAACCTGCATGCATCGAACCGTTGAAGTTGAAGTTTCTGAAGATTTGCAGCCAGTGTTGTCATAGACGAGCTTTCGCAAAAGAAGGGGGCTCCGCTGAGATGGAAGCCTGCAGTCCATGTGGATTGAAATCTACACGAGGCAACTTCACTTTGCTTGTCTGCGGGAGCAGCGGCCATCTCTGCCAATGCTATGCCGATGACGAAGCACATCGTGGTTGGCAGCCCAGAAGTGCGCAGTGTTCACCTACGAAACATTTAGTCGCACGCACACACACACACATGCACGCCTCTTGCTTGTTAGCATCCCTTCATATCTTATTTAGACACAGCATCTACTGTAAGTTACGGTGCCTATTAATCTATGCAAAGATCTGCGAGGTTTAGGAGCCCGTCAGACTGAAGGGCAGTCTCTATTCCCTTTAGACATCCTCAAGCAGTACAGCACCAGGACTTCACGTGCCGAAAGATGACACACCACTGGCTCAAGGAAGGGAAGCACATTTCCATGAGGTGCCCGACATCCACGGTGCGGCCAAGGCGTGGCTTGCTGTTTTTTTTCCTGGGATTCAGGGCTGCAGGGAGGGAAGGAGAGAGCCCGGTGGTGGACCCAACAGCTCCGCTGTAGACCCCGCTGCGCTGTTGGCATGGATTGAAAAACTGCATCTCGAGATTTCCGCCTGCCCAACTTTGGTGGGACGCCGTATCACTGAAGAATGTTGTTTTCGGACTACGGCTGGTTCGTAGGACTTCGTCCATAGAAGTGAAGCGAATGCCGTATTTTTCTCGAGGCATTGGTTTGTCTGAGTGCGTCACCGGTTTCTGGGAGTCCCATGTCGAGGTTCAACTGTCACCGATTCCCTTCTGAGAGTCTCGCGAGGTTTGTGTGGCTCCCATCCCTCCGTTATCGCTCCAATCCTGACTTCCGTCTGCCTGATGTGCCAGAGTTGGACCTAGGATATTCTTGCATCTAGCCTCATGCTGCCTCATCGAGCCTCGGTGAACAAAGGAACAGCTGCAACAACTGTCATAAGAAAAATCGCGCTTTGGTGAGCGGAACAAGTGTGGAAGCAGGCTTCGTCAGCTTTGCAGGTGTGTGCATAAACTTTCTTTGCCTCACATGCATTCGCACACGCTACTTCGTAACAGCAACGGCGAGGCTCAAGATACTTTCTGAAGCTCCTCTCCTCGAGGATCTGTCGGAGTGATTCGCAGTGTCAAGCTTCCAGACATGAGCGAGTCAACCTCGGGCTCCCGCACAAGCAGTCCGTCGCCACTGCGGCTTCAACGTGGACGAGTTGGAGATGCCAAGGCGAGATTCTGCTGACACCGTCTCCAAGAAGAAGAAAAACAGAAACAACAAAGAACAAGAACGAGATCAATGCCGTTGGCGTCGACCTAACGAAGGACCCTGGCGCGGAAAAGAATACGGTGGTGGACCTCATGCAGTTCAGCCCTGAGTTGCATGGGTTTGCAGTTTTTCCAGGGCTGTCTGACCTCAACTTGTCAACCCATCACAAGCCAAAGTAAGGAACTTTGGAGTATTGGTCCAAAGAGTTTGATAACTTTAGTTTTGGAATAGGTGCGGTGGTATTCGGAGCACCTTATTCGTGCTGGTGTGCTTTTGCATGGCTTTGTCGAAGCCAGCCAACAGACTAGTGAAGCCTTCTTCATTTTTCACGAAATCGGGGGGAAAGGAGGACGGCGAGGAAGAGGGAAGACGTAGTGCGAGATTGTGCCGGAGACGAGAGGGAGAGATAGAGATGGAGACGGAGCATTTGTGGCCACGCCCAGTCGAGATCGGAGCTGTACTTAAGCCAAAGCAAGCTGCAGTGGCGAAAAGAAAGGACGACAGCAAGGGCCAAGGCAGAGCAAAACAAATAATCGGCTACAGAAGACATGGAGGGCGGGGTGTGTGCTGGGCTGAGGGATGGCTTGGCTTGCTACACTGGGTGACAAAAATGCATGGTTTCATCCATGCACACGAAGAGCTCACTAAAGCTAACGGACCTAACGGGCTAGGTGAGAGCCATCCCAACCAAAGTGCGATTGGCGCATAGCCAATCACAGCCACGGACTTTTCTCGACGCAAGCACAACCCTCCCAAAAAATCAGTTGGAAAACAAGATACCTTCTTCATCATTATCTGGTGCCCGTGAACTTTGGAATGCAGCCCCAAGGCGATTGATGCAGGCGCGAGCGCGCTCTCCACCAACTGGGAATTTGAAGGACGGCCACCTGTGCTGCCACCAGTCAACATTGACCGTCACAGCTGAAGACCGGGACGGAGTTCCGTGCAGGAGTTCAGGGGCGTGGAACGGAAGCAGGTGCCCATTTTAGGTGATCCGCTTCTGGCCTGAACCCCTGACAGAACGGACGGAAATTGGCTGGAGTTTGTTGAAAGTGCATGTGCATCATTTGGATGGCACGACACGACGATGATGGATTCCGAGGGCGGCTGGTGATGACTGGCTCAGTTCTGACTGGTTGTCATTTTGCTGACTGTGAGAGATGGACTGAGCACTTGGTTGAGTCGTGACGTAGTCGCAGGTCTCACTGGAGCAGCGCTTGTGAGTTATGGTTATGCTTACGTTTGGGTTGTAGTATCGTGGGTCCTTCTATACTGTGTTTGCTTGACTGCTCGGGTAAGTCTGGATGATGGGTAGCTCTTTTCAAGAAGCTGAGCAATGTCTCAACCTCTAGTGATGCTGATACGTGGTGGCTGAGTCAGATGTGTGTTAATGGGTGGTTTATGGTCTTAGCCTTGGTTTGGGTTGTCTCTTCAGTCACTGCCCTCGTGAGCTTGAACGCGAGCCTAAGCACGACATCGGGGCTGCATATGCGAGGGATTCTTCTGCCCCATGATGCCAAGGCTCCCCATCTTTCGGTCTCCCACACGGTAGTCACTTACTCCAGGCCCTCCGGCGAGACTTCAGCCATTTGGATCGTCCGGCCGGCGCTTTGGCCGTGCTCGGCCTGGCCCTCGAGAAGGGATATGGCGGCCTAGCTTGAGGGTCAGGCGCAGGACTGCTGCTATGGAGTTGGGTGTGTGGATCCTCTTGAGGCTCGAAGACAGTAAGGGACTATTTGGGCATAGGCGCGGACGCCAACCCAGTATGAATTCGACACTTGCTGGATCCTGAACCGTACAATGTACTAAGCCTCATCCTGTTGCGATTGCATCGATATGTGAAGGCTCTCGTGCTCCAAGAGCGGACTAACCATAGGCTTGCTTTATCCCTATTCGAATGACTGTCTTCTCACTCTTCCAACTTCTTTCTATGGCAGCGTCATCGCGAAAATGGCGGTTTCCTTCCTCACGCCTTTCACTCTGCGTCCCTGCTGCTATGTCGTGAGAACTTTCCGACACGGGTCCGTCTCATCAAAAGGGATCCTGCCGCCTCGGATAGGGTCCTGATAATATAATATAGTATATAATATAATATATAATATAGTATATAATATAATATAATATTATATTATATTATATTATATATAATCACAGAATACAATCTAATACTTTGCCTTTCACTCTACCGAGGTGCGGGCTCCGGTGCCGCAGCGCCCGAGGCGGCCGCGCGGCTTCTGCCGGACCGGCTGTCGGCCATGGCAGAGCGAGCGTTCTTAGGTCTCGTTTAGGGTTTAGGGGTTTTGGGTTTACGGTTTAGGGTTTAGGTCTTAGTGGGTTCAGGGGCTGGTTGGGACTGCATGGCTCCTGAGCTTATGGTTTAGGTATGTTTAGGGTTTAGGGTAACATGTCCTGCATTGACGGCTTCCTTCGAGGAGTTTGGGTTTGGTGGGGCTTTGGCCGGGAGGTTTATGGAGGTTTGACGAATTGAGACGCAAGAGCAGACAAGTGGTGGGCAACGCTGCTGTGTTGATGGAGCACATGGCACAAAGTCCTTCGCACGGTATCGTTTCTGCGGGCATATCGGCGCAAGGCACGGCATATTGTGTGATAGAACTTACATGTATACTTAATATGCACGCATGCAACAAGACAGTCATGCATCCATGAAAGCTGAGACATGCTGCGCACAAGCACTGCCTTCCATAATGGCTCCTTATTATAATTATAGTATAATGGGCCCCAAACCCTATTCCAAGAATAAAGGCCCCTATAGTCAGCGTTTGCAGGAGAAACTTTTCAAGCGTCTGGCATCCTTCCGCAGCGAGTGGACGGATGAGATGCTCGTGGCCCTTTCCCGAGAAGGGAGGGTGTTGAGGGTGTGATCTATACATGTTATATAAGCTATATAGAAATATACATAGATACACATATTTAGTTGTTGTTTGTGTAATTACCCGCACCGTAGTATGTGACGTTACACTATGATTTTTTGTTGCCATATTGTGTTACATCACTTGTATTATGTTATGTTATGTTATTGTAGCAAATGACGGAAAGGGTGTTTAGGATCCGCTCGGCGGTCGCTGATGCTGATGGTGCCGTGCCTGATGTTTTGAGCTGCACCAGGCACTGCTGATGCTGATTTTGTGGCTTGTGGCGCAATCCGCACAAGGCGCTTCTGATGCTGATGGTGCTCAGCCCTGTGTCATTACAGATCGCTTATGCCACATAAGCACCTGCTGAGGCTAATGATGCTCCACCCTTTGTTTTGCAGGTTTACTGTGATCCGCACAAGGCACTATGTGTTTTCACAGATAGGAACTTAGGATGCGCTGATGCTGATGGTTGGGGCCCTAATCGCACCAGGCCCTGCTGATGCTGATGATGCTCGGCCCTGTGTTTTTGAGATAGGAGCTGAGGCCGCACTGATGCTCGGCCCTGTTTTTTTGTGCAGATAGACAGGGCCTGCTGATGCTTATGATGCTCGACCCGTTCTTTTGATATAGGAGTTGGGGTTGGACTGATGCTGACGATGCTCGGCCCTGTTTGCAGTTGCAAAGTGGGGCCTAGGCGCACCAGGCCCTGCTGATGCTGATGATGCTCGACCCCGTGCTTTTGAGATAAAAGCTGTTAGGCGCACCAGGCCCTGCTGATGCTGATGATG